GGCAGATTGTTCTGATTTGTTAGTTTTGCTACAAATGATTTTATTTAAAATAATGTCTAAGCAATTTTCATAAAATATATTGTCCTGCCAATGGTCCATGAAATAGGAATTCTTATAACTGTGTCTGCTACAGAGTTGAGTAAGGGAGGGGAGGTGTGCTGTTTGGTTCCACAACATTTTGTCCCTTGGGCTCTGTAAGCAGAGCTCAGGTTTCTAATTATTATACTAAACAAGATGTTTTTGTGATATATTGATTGGCTAATAGCTTGAGATGGTAAATATTGTCTGACTAAATATGGTAAAATATATATTTAATGCAAAATAGAAAAAATGTCAGGAAAAAAATTGGTATTTTCAACTTCAAAATTAGGCACTGATTTTCCACTCACTGAAGTCCATGGGCTTTAGTTATGGACTTCAATGGGAATAGGACTGTGTCCAAGAGATGATTATTTACCTTAGGAGCTATGTGCTCAAGAAGTCATACAAGTAAATGCTAAATCTCCCACTGGCTTTTAAAGAAGCAAGAGAAGCCCCTGTATGAACTGATATATAAGACCTCATCCTGCAAATCCTTACTCCCCCATAGTAGTCCAAGTAATTACACACTAATAAAAATTCTACTCTGCATTTGCAGGACCATGGTTTGAGTCCTGATATTAATGTTGGGACAAAATATTTGGACCCCAAACTGTGGTTTATTTTTAAATTGTCCCATTAATTATAGGATCTTACCTACAATATCACATTTCCATAGGAAGGGTAACTTATGAGCTGTAATAAAAACCTTCATAAACTTTTCAAGTTAATTCCCACCAGATTTTACTTTATCAAGCCCAGTGACCCGTCTAACATTATCTCTATATACCTGCTAAGTTTAACACATTTCAAACAACACCTTGTATTTGTGACAGATCAAAATAAACAGCAACTTTTACCCATGAGAAAAGAAAATGTAGTGCCAGAGTTACTGTTAAGAATTCTTTTCTGGGGGAAAAAGGTAGCGGAGTCCTGAATTGCCTGAATCATTGGACATTCTCCCTTTTTGTTTGAATAGGTCTCAATTGATGGGAAATTATTAGAAAAGTTATAAATGGTAATAGTTCTGCTCCAAACACAAAGGTGTTTATAACTGTTAAGTATAAACATAGTAACACTAGTCAGCCACAAACCGCAGCCTTCCAAATTGTATAGGAATTGAGTTGTTGGCCACAGACAAATTTCGTAATTTCAGGTTAGCATGCTCAATTACAATATCTACTGAAAATAGTATGCGATGCTCTATGGTTATAGCAATCAACTTCCTTCTCTCAAAATAGACTAGCATGATTATAGCCCTGATCTCAATTGCACGGATGTAAACCCCGAGAAACGTCATAGACTTTAAAAGGGATTTACTCCGGATTTACACCACAATCCTTATCTGCTCCTGTCTGTGCTGTAAGGCAGTGTGAATAGATAGAACTAGAATTCTTCACTGTACAAGAAGGAAATCTAGGATCCCCATACATCTGCAAATCGCCCAGAGAAAGGAGGACACCAAAGAAATGTGAAAAATAAAAAAAAAATGGGGTGACAGAAAACCAAAGGAACTCCTTCTCCCTGCTTGCCCACGCGAGGCTTACTGTTGAATTAAATGCTTTTCATTCAGCTCAGCAGCATCAAGCCACCTTAACTGCCTGCCGTATCCACAAAACTAGCAGGAAGAGGTTTGTGCGGAAATATTCCCAGTTCCCAAAGAAGATCTAGGCTTCTAGCTGACTTGTTCTCATTTCATTGAATTGGTTGGATCGCTCCTAATAACGAGTAAGTGGAGTTTAGGTATTCGCCCTCCCCTCCCATCCCCGAAAAAAACTTGAATGTTATCAACGTGATCTGCACCGTGGCTCTCACTACACGATTCGGGTCTCCATTAACACATTTCCTTTTCTGGCAGTCAGGTGCAGGCTCACCCCAAAATGAATAGCACAATGCGGAGGCTTTAAAAAGAGCCGGCTAGTTTAGTCAACTCCTCGTGCGACCTTGTTTACACGCTTCGCCGGTGGGAAGGGAGAGGAAGCGAGTGGAGGGGGCGAGCCAGACAGCTGACTGTTTTGAAACATTCACCATTAGAACAATAAAGCGAGTTGTAAAGCCTCCAGGTGGTGTATTTGTTGCCCTGTCTGCGTGGTGTGGTGGCTCCTGGCCTGGCAGATTCTGGAGCTGCTGTGGACATTAAGAAAGTCTCTTTTGGCTGATTCCAAAGAAAGATAAGGAGCCGCCGAGCCACCAGCTCTGTCTAGACTCCGGACCTCACAAGTCAAGCTGGTTGTTTGGATTAGCCTTGGAGATCTACCAACCTGAACAGCCTCCGAGAGAAAAGACACAGTAACACCCTATTTTCCTCTTCCTATTGCTCGTCAAGGTCTGCCCCAGAGATAGGAGAGAAGATCTGGTTTGACCAGTGTCTCTATTTCCCAAACACCACCCTCCCCCTCTCACGGTTCCTTGCCTTGCTTTGTCCCAATCCTCCAGGGCGGGGGAGGGGGCGGGGGGGACAAACTAACTCCATAGCTATCGGGAATCAATTCAACTGCAACAGCAAGAGGCGGGCAGCCGCGCGGCTGGTTTCTAAAGTGGGGCCACGATCCGGTTTGCCCGTCAATAACAGCAACAACTCATTGCTGCGTGTCGCGTTAGAGTTCGACTTAAAGAAACCGCTTATCTATTTACGGTGCACTGGAAATAAAAAGGAAGAACAAACTATCTACACATATAACACCATATATCAGGCCAGGAAAGCTAGATGCCTGCCAAATAAAGGCTGGTTTCTAAAGTGGGGCCACGATCCGGTTTGCCCGTCAATAACAGCAACAACTCATTGCTGCGTGTCGCGTTAGAGTTCGACTTAAAGAAACCGCTTATCTATTTACGGTGCACTGGAAATAAAAAGGAAGAACAAACTATCTACACATATAACACCATATATCAGGCCAGGAAAGCTAGATGCCTGCCAAATAAATCACCCGGGTCTTTCCGAAGACGCAGGTTTTTGAACACAAGCGGATGTAAGTTGCCTCGGCTTCTCTCGTTAATGACAATGAAATATACAAAGCTACTGCACACTGGCCAGTCATATCGCAAGTTTCCTTTCCCACCCCACCCCCACCCGTATGAACTAGTTTCTCTGTCTACACTTCAGAGTCCCTGGGAGGAGCTGGTAGATCCTCCATCACCGACTGGGACATGGCTAGCAGTTAAGTTTATGTTTGTGGCGCCTGAGCTCAAACAGTCATTCAGTGGCTTGCTCGGTTATCAAGAAAACAACAATCAGTAAACAGGGTCTCACCCTTTAGGAACTACTCACAGCTCAGCTGAAAAATACAAACCACACAGAAGTGAGATTTAACATCTCAAAATATGCGACAGATTTTTAAACATGTAGGAATTGCTACAGCATGAGACAACATTGTTAAAACAATCTTGGTATTTCTTCCCTCTGAACGCTATTTTCTACTCCTGGCTTTATTCGATTTAAACTGAGCAGACGGATATCATAGAAAGGGGGGAAATGAGAAGACCCTCCCATACGTAGATAGCGCTTAAAGGTCACTCTGGATTTTTTTTCAATTAAAAAAACCAAACTGAAATTGTAATATATATATATGTATATATAAACAAGTACTTACTGTTCAGAAATTTGATTTGTCTTAAAATTGAAATTCAGACCCTGATGGTCTGTGTTTCATCCAGACATTGGTTTAGAATGTTCCAAGATAGATTTACCTAGACAAAAAAATGAAATGAGAAGAGTTTTGAATACGATCTTGGTGCAGACAAAATTCAGAGTGAACTTAAACAATTCTTTAATAAGATCACACTCGTGAACAAACACTTCGAAATTGCACAGTTATCGTGCATGTTGCTTGTTATTAAGACACAATAGTGGGGAGAAAGAGCCATGGCTGCTGGTTTGATTAATTATCATCCGTTTCTTACAGTACGTGATAAAACTAGCGGATTGAATAGCGCAAATGAATGCATCCAAACAATGACTGTCTCTCATAAATTCTGCTGCCCTGGCTCACCTGAGTATTCTCAATGAAGTCACTAGGAGTGAACTACTCACACATATTTGTAGGTGCAGAATTTGTCCCGCAATATGTGTCTCTCAAGCTCCTGAGATGTACACGTGGTACCAAAACGGGATACAAAGAAAAATACAAGAGTGCAAGAATCCTCAGACAGTAGAAACTTGTCTGAAATTAACTCTAGCTTCATTTAAAAAAAACAACAATACTTCTTAACATAACTAATTCATCCTTTAACACCCCTCTTCTCTCCTCCCCCACTTTCCCCCCAGCCCAAGGTCTGAACTCTAGGAACACAGATCTGACTGGTAATGTGTAAAAATGAGTCTACTTGAAGGATAATACTGATCCTGGAGAATTTGTTGCAGAAATCATATTATCCAGAAAGAATTTAGAGCAATCAGATGGGGAGGGTTCTGGATTCATGAATAATAATTTCAATCTAATGGTTTGTGATTAGAAGAGAGATTTAGACACACTAAATACTGAAGTCCTCTTCTTGAGGCAAAACTGTAAAAGAACTAAAGAGCTAGGAAAAAATGCACTGCACTACAAACATAAACAAGACTCTGCTAAAAAAAATACAAAGAACGCAATTAAAAGGACACCCATTAGTCTATTCACTGCAGTCCAATATGCTCTATGCAACTATTTGCAGAGAAAGTTACATTTTCCTACTGTGGATTCAATTCCCTTAGACTCCAGTCCTGCCCCCCCCCCCCCACCCCCCCACACACACAGATGCAGACTTATACATTGGCATCTCCTTAGCAATTAGGATAAAAGATTGAGATAACTCTAATGAGATATTCAAAACTAAATGTACTAACTCCTAAATGCATTTTTTAAATCCCCAAATTGGCAAATTCCATTCAGCTCTAGAAGATTTCATTTAAATAAGTCCACAAAAGATATAAAAGAAGAGATTGCTTTCCCAAGGAAAAATAATTACATTTTAACTTTACATCAAAGGGTCAAATTGCCACAAACTTCCAGAAGCTCTGCAGTGTATTCTAGATTCTCACAATACTTTATATTGCACAGCAAACTCGAAGGGATTGTTGTATATATAGCTGGGAGACACATGGCTATTTAGAAATGTAAAATTCAAATATGAAAAATGAAACCGTGAAAAATGAAAACCAAAGCCAAGCCTTATAATCGAGAAAAATAAGAAACTTGCATCTTTTATTGTCTATAAACAACTAGGCCAGGACATTCCAACTCTCAGCAATATTGAGACTAATCCTGATCAGTATGCCCTCATTTTGATTTAAATGGGAGTTATTCTTACTCTAGGAGGGCTAAACTGGAGCATTTGTCACAAATTAAACATATCAATCAACAGGCAAGTCTAATGCAATAGTATTCCCACTATTTTCAATGAGAAGTTATTTTGTTTCCTGTGTGCAGTGCAGTTTGTCAGAAAGAGGGAAAGAAAGGCCACATGTAAAGAGCCCAGTCTTGCCCTTAACCAGAGTTTTCAGTTCACAAGCCAGGTTCCTCCTAGAACTGAGTGCTAAATTCCCTCTCTTTAATAGTAGAAGAAATTTAAACATGCATTGGACCAAACTGAATAATGATATGCTGTCCTCTCCCAACCCCACGATATTTATCAACCCGAGGATCCTGTATGAAAATACAAGTGTTACTCCTCACACAGTTTAAGGTAGATTTAATATTTATTTAAATATTTATCAAGTATTCAAAAATGTATTACACTTGAGCATACAAAATGAATCCAGTTTCTTATCAGGGTGATTGAAATCCTTATATGAGGCTTTTAACTCCCCCTTCCCCTCCCTGAAATGTTTTTCTATAGTTTGACTAGCTGGGGTGGGTTAGGATGATGGGGAGCATGAGGGGAGGCAAAGAGAAAACAAGATTATGTTAAGAAAACATGAAACTTTGGAGAAACTGTCATGCAAACCAATTTGTCTTTGTCAGACTCAAAGTCTTTGTGTATTTCAGTTGTTAAAGATTTTTTTTAAGCAATCCTTTGTCCTGTAATGGCTGTGAGCATGAAGAAATACTTGAAAAGGAGAAAAAATCGTACCCTCTCCTATAGTTTTCTGCTCCCCCCCCCCCAACAAATCTCCCATGTTTCTAGCTTTCACCACCACCTTCCACCCCTCCCCCAAATTAAAAAGGAAGAAAACAGGAGGGGAAGGCAGCAAGGAAAGGAAGTCAAAAGAAAATAACAGAAACACCAATGGTGAAATTTCACAGCAACATCCAATCAAGTCTATTCCTCTTGCAGCATTTTTCAATCATTTTGACAGCAGACACTGATAAATAATATTCATACTAAGCAAAATATGTCCCTTTTATCAGGCGCTTATACTTTTAATACAGGCCACTTGAACAATCTTAACAAGGAGGCTTTGGTATACAGCACTTTTTTAAAAAATAATACAGTTCAGAAAAGCTGAGCTCTGTTGGCTATGTCAGTTCTTTAGGTGTCTCAACATTGTCTGGTCATGCCTACAGTAATATTACTGTTAAAGGGCAGGAGAAGAGGGGGAAGGGAATGCTTGCAACATTATCAATTTTTTAAGGCATCATACCAGCCCTAATATAGTTGTTCAAAATTGAAATTTACAAGCTGGTTATTAATACTTGCAATAAAATATCATACTCTATATTTCAATACGAATCAACTTTGTATGCAATATTTTATTTCAGGTATTTAGCTGTGAACTTGTAAATATATAAAAGAGGAAACTTTTATTAGTTTTATTTTCTCTATATTCCAAACGCTTATTTAGTGAAATAGTTCTGAAGATATAATAATTCTGCATATGGCGCTTTTATTTCACATAATATTTAAGAAAAAAAGACAAAACCACATAGATTTAGACATATAATTCAAAGACCACGGTACAACCTTTTCTTTTTTTACTTTAGCAAACAAAAACAAAAAATAGAGTCAAATGACATGAAAAGTGGCAAGTCTTCCAATAATAAATAATAAATTACTTTATAACTTTTGCAATGCAAGAGCAAACAAAACTTTTCTTTCTTTTTTCCTCTTTATTTCCAGAGAGAGAGAGAGAGAGAGAAAGAGAAACAGTCATTTTAACCAATAACTATACACATCTTTGGGGGGAAAAAAGTTCTTGGACGGACACAATTCAAACACAATCCCGAGACGCTTTGTGGCAAAATAGAGGTATACCTTGTTGCAATGCTTTATAAGTCGGTTTTTAAATAGGCATTCAAAAACCTATTTTAAAGTCGCTTCAGACTTCTCAATAGAGGATGGATCTCAGCAAAACCAAAACCCCATCTACAGTACATGCTATAAGAGACCCAGGAAACAACCCCGTAAGAGTCAACTAAAAAAACCCCCAAACAATTAAAAAAAAAAAACATTGCAAACCAACGCAGCTCCTGCTTCCTGCAATGAATCTTTCAACCATGCGGGGCCAGATTGTCTTTTCCTGATGTTGTGAAACCTATTAGAGTTCCTTTTTGGCAAGTCAATGCCCAATAAGAAACAGCACCATTCAGATTAGGGTGGACTAGATCGACAGTCTCTGTATCTCGGTTTCTTTCTAATATGTTCAGTCAAATGAAAAGATGTTTCCTCTTCTTTTTCTGAGATCCATGAATACAAATCCTCTACGTTTTAAAAACGTCTTTTCGATGCTCCTGTGATCATTGGATATCATGTGTGTTTATTTACTCTTTTAAATTATTATTATTCTAGTAAGATCCCATGATTGTCTTCACAGTGTTGCTACCATTTCACTTTGTCATTTATAACAAGACTCCGTGCATTTCATGGAGCATTCTTTGTTAGGGTAATTACAGGTTTGTTAAATACTTTTAAGTTTCAAGAGTCCCAATGTGATAACTTCCCCGATTTCTTCAAAAGGGGAAAATAATAATAAAAAAATCTGAATTGTTCCTCATGCCTCAATAGGACTGGCTACCATGCTGTTAGGTGTATCTGGAAGCTGAGAGGACATTGATGCTACTTCGCTTCCAGTAGAATTGGAACCAGGTCCTCCTTCTGAAAAATTAACCTGCCCAAAAGAAAATAAGGGGACATAGTCACAAATGTAGTTATAGTTATTAATTAAAAGCAGGAGAAGAAAAAGAAATACAAATATATACTCAAATTGCACTACAAAGGGCATCACCCAATGAAATCAAGGGGAGTTTTTCCATTTACTTGAATGAGGTTTGAATTAGCTCATCAGTCAATTCACTCAACAAAGTAGATTTCTAAAACCAAAATTGGGGAAGCCCCAAACTGTTTTTAATGACACCTGTTTTCTCAGGACTTTTGGAGATCTTTGCATTCTAATTGTTTGGGAATTTGAATTCCCAACAGTATGTTGCAATCAATTATTTAAGAACTTTGTGTTTCCTGACATGAAAGCAAGGCTACTTCCCACTTCCTTTTATGGTACATAATACAATAACAATTGGCACAAAGCTCTATGAGCATAATGAGTTTGCTTTTTAATAAGACATCTTCTTCCCTGAGAGTGATGGGGAAGAAGATGAGTCTGTATTAAATGAGACACAACTGGGTAGCTTCTGTGAGTTGGTGATTGGATATTAGTCTTACAATGTCCACTATTTGGAGAGTTTAGCATTTCTAATATACCCCAAATTTGGTTTTCACCTTCTTGGTTAGAAGACTTTGAGATTAAGGCCTTGCTTACATTGCAGAAATTTGCACCAGCCATTTTAAAGTTCACTAGACTGGGTCCATACTACAAAATGCTCCTGATATATCTATTTTCCTATATGCTCTATTTTTGGTCAAGCTGACATTTTTTAAAAGGTCAAAAATTGCTTCCTGGTTACATCCCAAAATATTGAATTCTGTTGCTAGACCTAGTACCACCAAAGGCCAGTCTGTCCAGGGCTTACAGATCTTTCTGGACCATTAACCCATAACAAGTAAACCAGACAAAGCAGTTCAGTGTTTTGCTTTTTGGGGGGAGGAAGAGGGAGGAAGGGTTGTTTCTTTTTTTCCCCACCTGCTGGCTGGCTTGGTTGAAGCAGAGGAACTAGAAGATGCTCTAGAACCAAGATGATCTGTATTACAGCATCAATAATACAGCTGCTAAATTAAAGGGAATTCCAAATGGGCAGGGTATTCCAATTCATTCTTCAGCATCAAATTAAAAAAAAACCAAAAAATGAGTGAGTCACTAAAGGGAAAGGTCTGAAAATGTATATTGGTGCTATAAACCTTTATTTTTATTTTCCAAGATTATTCTGAAAAATTGTCTGACCAATGAAAACATCTATGGTAATATTTCATTATTATTTATTACTGTGAATCACTGAAAAACCATACACAACGTACCTTATTATTTTAAAGATCTGGTTTAAACACACTTAGGCCAGGAAATTGAGTTAAGGTTGAACTTCTGTCCTTAATTCACCTTGTTGAGCCTAAGTATTGCAGATGATATGGTCCCATATGAGCTGCCAAATGACGTAGGCATAAGGAAGTGAGTTAAGAACAGAATTTATTCTTAAATGTCTGTTTTCTTGTTGGTTAAGCCAGTCCATTAATATTGTTTGGCTTTTGCATGTGACTATGTAATAACAATTCTCTTTATAAAATATAAATATAATTTCAGAGGGATAGATATAAATATTTGCCTGGAGTTACAAACTTAAAGATTTATACTTCCCTTCCCTCCCTGTTTTAAGAATCATATCTGTCTGGATGATGTTATATTCATATAGTTGAACTTAATTCTATACTATATAGGCAAAATAAAATATGTGGACCCCAGGTTAGTAATTGCTGTTGTAAGATTACAAAGAGTAAAATGATAAATTGCTTATAGTTTTAATGCCCCATGTCTCCTCTATAGATTTGCTTTTAAATTTTATGGCTATAATTATTTTAATTACTATTTCAGACCTCAGTTTTGGGCCTGATCCAAAGCCCATTGAAATCAACGGGAGCCTTTCTACTGACTTCAAGTGGGCTTTTGATCAAGTCTTACAAAATCCGTTTTATTCAAAGCACTGACATATTGCAACAATGTAAATACCAGGAATGCATTTATAGTCTCGAGTTCACATCTCACAGCAGCACACCTACACCAAGTTTAAAGAATACCCAGTATTCTGCCCCGTGTACACATTAGCATATTCAGTCTGGGAACTAGCACTTACTAGCTGCTGAAAAGCAGGTTGATCTATGTCACTCTGCAATGCGAAGTCACTCAGTACTTTCCAAGGCGGCTGGTAACTCTGCACTTCCACTGGGTTTGCCTGTAAACCCCCATCATGTCTCTCAGGACTAGCAGCCACCATAGGGGTTCCTGTCATCCCTTGAATATTCTGTAAACAACCGACCCAAAGATGTTAATGAGCTTAGTTAACTTTATTGTATATAAGCGCTGAGTCAATAAACTGCTTTTCTATCTTATCTATACAGTCGCCTTTATTTACATAGTTAATCTGCTGTGAATGGCTTACCCTGTTCTACTATAGGGCAGCATATTTCTGTATTTATCCCTCTAGAAGCTTACTTTCTTTCTCCTTAATCCTTGTATGTCTTCATGCCCGGTTGCCTAAAAGGTTATTAACTACTTGCACCAAATAGCATTGCCCGACGATGCACAGTGAAGAACAAGAAACGGTTAACAACCTTGGGTTTATATTTGCATCCATGCTAGCTGCGACCTTAGCTGGATCGTATAACCTCTCTGCTACTAGCCTCGGGTGCCCGAGTAGCTTTGAAACCCTTTGTGTATTCTAAATGCTACGGCTGTTATGTACAAAATGACTCGGAGCCTTGAGGAACTGTGTGCTGATAACACTGTGTTTTACTGCCTTCTGACACGGTAAAGTGAAACTCCTTCAATTCCACTTAACTAGGCAGCCTTATGAATTAATAGTCTTTTCAGGACAGCCAATACCCTGAAAATAGCCATCCGCGTTTGTGTTGCACCAACACAGGTTGGTCACACTTTGTCGCTTTTTGAAAAGCTCCAACAGGAAGAAAAAAGTTGCAAAATGGAGAAAGGCAACTTGTTTGAGAAATCTCGCTGTTTTAAGCCAAGATAACTTGTTTGCATCTTGTGCAATTTTAAATTCTGTGTCTAGGATGACAAATCAAAATCCTTCCTTTGCATTTGTCTTTTGGCTCAGTAGGTGCAGTTGCTCAGGTATGACAATATGCACCTTATCACATAGAAAATGTTAAGGAAACGCATCACATTTGTGGTTCTGACTCCTATGTGAACCCATCCAAGAGGGAGAACGTCTTTTTCTATTAAGGAGTCCACCGCACTTGCAAAATATCTATTACACGGTGTTCGGCTTATTACATTCCCTAAACTCGAAGGGTCACAATTCACACAGCAGTGAAAGTACTCTGATCCACACTATATCCTTAGCCCCGCATAAAGGCGTGTCCCCTGGAGCAGGAGGTGTAATCTGCTTGCTATGTTTAATTGCATTGACAACAGAATACATGAATAATATTTACAGTAATCGGAAGGCAACTGTACCACATCTGTACTGTCTTAAATATGGAGCTCTCCCATAAACAGCATCATTTATCTGCCCAGACAAAACCAAGCCCCAAAGAAAGCTGGTCAGAGGTGGTCTCGGTACGATTTCAAGATCAAAGGATCGTTTCCAGTTCAGAAAGGAACGTTCCATTAGGAGCACAGGCTGCAGCCACTTACAGTTTTGTCATTGGGCTGCTGTTGCTGAAGCTGCTTCATCATGATGCTTCTTTTTTTGTCCTTACATCGCTTGTTTTGAAACCAGACCCTGATGACCCTCGGGCTGAGGCCAGTCATTTCCACCAGTTGCTCCTTCATGAGGGCGTCGGGTCTGGGGTTGGCAGCGTAGCAGGTCCTCAAGGTGTGAAGCTGTTTCTCATTAAGCACAGTCCGGACTCGGGTGGTCTTCTCCGGCTGCTTGTGGACGTGGGGTCGAAGAGCGGGCTGTCTGGCAGAGATAGGTTCTGCTGCAAGGAAAGGGGAAGGAACGAACAAGATCTCCATAAGGAAGAAGTAGAGAATCTACAAAGACTCAGAGCTTTCTCGGGCAGATCCTTACTGAAAAGGTCATTCAGACATTCACCTCTGAGCTGTTGTCCTTATCTCTCCCCTGAGAGCAGATAGAATCACACCATTATTGCCATTTCCTACTGCACGGACAATTTTGGAGGGGGAGAGGGGGACAATAAACAAGCAGCTCAGCCCCATTTTATCTCCGGGAGACAAGGAATATGCTACTTTGTTGTAATAGACATGGGGTGTGTGGGGGAGGGGAGTATTTATTTATTCATGGAGAAACCACTAAAACAGATATTTAGCTTTAAAAGTTTAGTAACAGGGAACATTTTGAATAATTTGTGTGACTGCTTCCTGTATGCAGATTATTACAGCCTAAGACCAGTTACATCAACTGGCTACCAGCAGTTTTCAATCGCGGCTCCACAAAAACAAAGCAAGGTGTACATTGTAGAAAACCTTACATGTGAAAGGCACATCCTGAGATCCCGAGAGAAGAAGCTATTGGGGAAGCTGGAGGTTGAACCTGAAGTTATGTCACTTTGTGCCCTACAAATCTAAAGCTACTGCAAAGTCATAAAAGGTGATGGGGGAAATGGCAGCTGATTTATTTTCATGGAAACCGTCGGGAAATGGAACCAAGAGGACACTGCCATTTCGAAAGTTAGAAATATATCGTTTTACTTTTACATCATATATTCTTATTTTCTTCAAATAATGAATTTATTAGAATGCCCTAAATATCACTTGACCAAAAATAAAGGGGAGAAGTTACTAAAAGTTTGGCCAATGAGTGTTCACTTTGTACTGTAAAATCGGGTTTCTATTTCTCCGGATGTCACAAGAAAACATCAGAGATTAATTCGGAACAAGAGCCCCCAATATTAGCAATTTTGTAGCTTGCAGACACAATATTTCTTTTAAGAAATGCACAAATATGCTTGAAGAAATCAGCATAATCAGTTCGAAATTCTGGAATTATTATTTATGTGTTTCTCTGCTATATATGCACAGGTCATTTGAAAACTATACAAAAGAAGAAATTGTGCAGGAGTAAACATGGTTGTGTTTGTAAATATCCCTTAGCCTTAGTTACCTGGCTAGTACTACTCCATGCCAATCTTGTGTTGTTAACTTTGTTTGTGAAAGATGTCCCCCTTCCTAAAGTTTAGGGTTTTGTAAATATCTAATGCATACTTCGAAAACTGAAAGTGTAAGTAAATCTGTATGTTAGATCAAGTCTAAAGTTGCAACGCAGAATTTAAGATGAAATTCTCATCAAATCACAAAAAACGTTTCAAGGAGGCAGAATCACGTTAAAAGGCAATTAGTGAAGATTAGCTTGTTGACAGTTTTAAATTACAGCCTAAGTGCTCGCCTGTAGTATTAAGTCTCTGTCTTTTCGTACCCCTTTTCTATTTGTATTTTAAAACAATCTGCTTCAAAAGTTTTGGTAAAAAAATAACGGACATTGGATTTGTGATATAATATTAATGGGCTATAAACACATCATATTATCTATCTATTCAACTTTCAAAAGAGAAAAGTTATGCCTAAAGGGATCCATTCTTTCTTCCAGGCTCTCCTTAGACAAATGCACATGCAATACCTGAGGTATGAACTTTCAGTGAACCACTAGATTTCAAGGTTTTAATACTGATTTAAATGTGTGTATACACAGGTATTCATATAAATACTATATATAATGTGTGTGTGTATCGTTATACAAATTATACACACACACACACACATCTATAATGTATTAGTGTATACATACACCCATATTGTTTGAGATATATATAGTTAAAACTGCATGCCTTCAGATATATACATAGGTGTGTACATGCATATAGACAGGTGTGTGTACACCTATTCTATTGTCAGGTGTGCCATGTTACTATCATATTGTTATCTCCATGTGTATATATACACAATGATACGATATGTGTGGTTATATCATTGCTATTTCTACAGGAAGGCTCACCCCTATGGCTAGAGCTCTAGAGCTGTGCCTGGCTACACACGCACACATGTGTGCCTACTGCAGGGCTGTACGGTACAGGCGGACGGGGCAGAGGCAGGAAGGACTGGAACAAAGCCGCGGCAGCGGCTAGTGGCCCAGAGTGGCTGTGGCCTGCAGTGGCAGCGGCTCGCTCTCTCTCGGGGGGCTGGTGGAGTACCTGCCATCTGCAGCGGTCTGGCGGGATGAAGGGGGCTGAGCGGGTCCCCCGCTCCCAGGCTGGCCCTCTCCACCACGTCGTGGTCTGCTCGGCAGAAGAGGCCGTCCTCCCGCAGCGCGAATTCGTCCCCTGGGATGAGCTGGCGGCTGCAGGCCACGCAGCGGAAACACTCGATGTGATACACCTTGGAGCGCGCTCGCATCACGAAGTCGTTCTTGCTGAAGCCGATGCTGCACTTGGCGCACTTGATGCCGTATAACCTGAGCAGGGCCCGGCCCAGAGACAAGAAGGAGAAAAGAGGTTTCACCCCCTAGTCGGTTGCAGCCCCCCGGCCCTGCTCGACTTGCCACACGCCGCACGCTAGTTAAACGAGTCTTTACAGCTCAGAAGCTCGGAGGGGGAAGGAATAAAACGGATTCAGTTACTGCCGGTGCCCAGATCTGGCCGCTGTAAAAGGCAGCAGCAGAGCTCTTGCTCGCTCTCACACACACACAAAACCTCCGGCAGGGTTTTCCTAACCCCTCTGCTTCCCCGGAGCCTGAGCTGCCCAGCAAAGAGGGTGGCGAGGGGGGCTCGCACACTGGGCGCAGGGCACATTGGCTGCCCCACGCTGCTCCAGAGCTGGAGCAACCCGCTTGTGTATAATCTGTAAAATAAAGGCTGGCTCCGATGACAGAGAGTGACACCCATTGCACAAACACAAACCTATTAGCCTCTCTCTCTCTCTCTCTCTCTCTCTCTCTTTTTTTGAATGAAACCTTCAGGAGTTTTGCCGCCTCCTGCACACTAGGGTTGTCAGTAGCCACAGTTGTAGTTTTCCTTTCTCCGAACACCGAAGAAGGAACTTTTCCAGGCACTACCAGGCTCAAGAAATTTTCCCCCTTCCGCCTTCTTTTTTGTAGGGTAATCTTTCTATGAAAGTACATTTCCAGCCCTTTTCTTAATTCCACCTTTCCACTCTCCTCCACCCCCATCAGCACCACTTTAAGATGAACGCTCAGCCTTAGAACGAAAGAAAATACGAATCTTCAAACACAAATGAAAGGAAAACTTCCTTACGGGTATTTCAAGAGAGCAAATCATTCGCCTCTTTGTTTTATACACCTTTAATAGCTACTGTGCTGTAGCTTGAGTCCTCTTCGATGCGGAAAGAGAGGGACATGTCAGGTAGCAATATCTATCTATACAGATATATTTTTATTAGCTGCAGTTCTGAATCATCTTTCGCAAGCTCCACAGTGTATCGGTTCACACTGAATATGATTTAGCTAAGTTGTTTTATTAAAAAGGCAAGCTAGTATAATAAACATATGCACAGATAGGTATGTATATAGGTATTCACACACTCCTAAGTAGTTTATAATATGCACACACACCCATAAACTCTCTCAAATACCCTCTAGAATGCACACAAACTCTATGCTCTGTGTATATTCACACACATACATGTATTCCTACCTTATGCGTGTGCCTATGCATAGCAGGATGTGTGTTACGTACAATGTATTTAGTTTGTGCTCAGACCTAAAACTTCGAACTGTGAGTTTTCATGAAAAATTGCTCGATCTCTAAACATAATAACTTACTAGGAACACGAGTTATTTTTGCACGTATGCTTCAGAGTTTATATTTGTTTGAGAGTCTAATTCAAAATCGCTCCAGCACAGAGTGTACACCTTTTACTTTAAATAATTTGAACAAATTAAAATTATTTTGCAGAAAATTGTCAAAGATGCAATTTATTTATTCATTTCCTCTACTCAATGAAATTGACACAGGAATGACCAGATCATACTCC